GAAATTTTCATAACTTTTGAGGAAACAAATGAATAAGCAAGTATTTTGCCAAAAATCAGTCTATACTTGATGATTACAAACAGTGGGAGATATGAACGGAACCATTTGTGAAGTTCATGCAAAATTCCTGTAACTGCTCTTCTAGTAACCTCGTAATACACAGCCTATGGTGTGTCTGGGCCACAGAACCTGTTCTTAGGAAAAAATGATGTCTATGTTTAATGAAGTAAAAGAGAAAGAGGAAAATATAACAAAGCCTTTGCAACTCTGAGCATACTTATGCTTTGATAGAGTCGCACATAGTTGTAGCAGGAATATAAGTGCATATCAACATTCTGGATGCATCTGCCTGATGGTGTGTAACATTAAGAGATACCTGAATGTCTAGATTTGTAACACATATGTATGATCTAAAACCTTGTATTGTTAAGGATTTTCCTGCTTGTTGTCATTGGTCTCCTCAATCTGCTAGCTTGTAAGCATATTGTAATTCATTTATTTTACAGTCCCTCTGTAATTTACAGTACACGTCAATCCAGCAGGCTAGGGTGGTGTAAATTCAAGCCTGTGTGTTCAGTCATGTGCTTCAATTCCTGCTATTGTTTTCAGCAGTTTCCACCAAGGGTGTGATTCACTTCTGTGCACTTCAGTGTGAACACTGCTCTCTGTTCATCCACTTTAATTTTTTATTCTATACTACTGGAAACAGAGGGAGAAAATCAAACTAAATTCCACCTAAAGTATAATTTAGCCAGACTTTGTGCACCTGATTCTCAGGGTATGAGTCAAATGGCCCACTCTCAAGCACCACCTAATTCCTCATGGCACCTAAAATGAATAATTTTGGACAACAGATTTCCTCTGGCGTCTGGGCATTAGTTCCAGGGAAGCTTGGAAGCACCATGGCATAAGGAGCCAGGCATGTAACTCCCACCTAAGTTTCATTGTAACTCAAAGATGTAGAGGTGTGCCTGAAGCTGCCTATGTTCCCAGAGGTGCCTAAGCCATTGACTGTGCTTAAATCGCATTTAATAAGCTTGGACAGCATTGAATTCAATGCAAACACAGCAGTCATGAGCATTTCCAGTGTGGAGGAGGGAGAAAGGACCTTTTCAATAGCCTTAAAAAGGTTAGACCAGTCATCCAGGACAGATGTCTGGTTTGGATTGTCCTAAGCTAAGGAAGCTCAACACGAATGGGAGAAGACTGATGTCCCACTGCTGAGGGTATTTCCAGGAAGAGAAAAATCTCAGACTGATGTTTTTACTCACAGGTCTAATTATGTCTTTTGGTTCAAGCACTTCTGTCCAAAATCACAAGCATGCACTGGTTCAGAGATCAGATGCCACGGATACCCTTGATTTGCTTGTCTGTTCTAACTTGTAAGTTCTTGCTTGTCATCTTTATAGATTAATTTTCACCCTTACTAATTGCTATTCATATTTCTGTAATGTTAGGGCTTTCTTGAGACCTCTCATCTCTCTTACAGCTTTCTGGCTGATACCATGATGTACTACCCTGAGTTAATGTTCTCTATATTTGTGCTTTACGTCTGTAGACTTTGAGGTTAACTAGGTACAAGTTTCCTTCATCCTTATTCTCTCTCCTTTTTGTATTGTTTTTTATTTTCCCTGTGCCGTGGACAGGGTAAATATTCTGTGTAATGAAAGTACTTGTTGAGCTTGTGAGGAAGTATCTGTTGAGCTGTGGACATGTGGAACAACTTACTTTTGTACTTCTCATTACCATTTAATGCAAATTCTTTACTCTTTTTACCCTGCATATGTTGTCTTTTTAGTTTTCTCATTTATTTTCAAATGTTGGTAGATGTGATCAGTAGAAACAGTATATATTAAGTATTTGAAGAACTGAACTTCAGATTCAGTATTCTGCAAAATTTTGTTTTGGCTTTTCTCGTGTTCCAACATGAGCTTTAATGTTCACATTCTGTTCTGGCTTCCCCTTTCCCCTGGCCCCAAATGTTCTTATATATTTATTAACATACATACATACTTTGCCTGCTTCAGAGGAGTTTTTGATTGATGTTTGTGGACTAGAAGATACCATGGTAGGTAATACTGAAATTTTAGTGTGGTATCTTACTGATCATCTGTACAATTCAGTGCTAGATGGATGCTTTTTATTCTATAACATTCACTTGAAGCCATTCAGGAGCAAGAGCATAGAGGAAATTGTGTATAATAATAGATGGTATGATAGTTTTCAGACCATCTCATCCTTTCACTTTTTTCCTTTTAGCACTCACCGTATGACTGGAAGGGTTGTATGTTAAGTGTATACTTTAAAGAATCTTTTAATGACTTTTCGGTCACCAAGGAATGTTTGTATACTTAATGAGAACTCCTCTTAGAATAAAGATGTTTCTGTTATGTCTTTAGTATACGGTAATTGTATACCAAATTTGTGCTGTTTGTTGGCCAGACACTGGAACAAGTTTTCCAGAGGATTGTGGAATAATCTCCATTCTTGGAGACTTTTAAAACTCAGCTGGACAAGATTTATAGTAACCTGATACGATTTTCAGGTTGCTCCTGCTTTGAGCAGGGTGTGAGATCCATTGACCTCCAGAGGTACCTTCCTACCTGAGTTATTTTGTGAATCTAACTGAATTCATCCTTGGTCCTATTTTACTTAAATCTTACCTCTTTAGCTAACTTTGCTGAAATCAATGTAATGGCCTTAGGAATTTATTTGACCTTGTCTGCTTTTCTTATTTCTCTTAATACAGTTTTCTCTATCAGCTTGAATGTAGGGGAAGAACTAGTGTAGCCTAGAGTAAACTCCTGCCAATTTCCACAATGCTGTCCCGTACCCATATACCTCTTGTCCTGTTTCCCAAATTCTTTGATAAACAGTTAAGGAAGATAATTTATTATCACATGCGTTCACAGGCATTTTTATTTTTTTGAGAAAATTCTGAAAGAAATACTGAGCATTTTAGATAAATCCTGTCGTTCATTTAGATAGCTCTTAAAGTGTCAGGGAAGCTTACAGAAATAAAACCATATTTACTAGAATACCTACCGTGTACAAAAAATACTTCTGTTTGTTTTGCTGACTTATCACACCAATCATGGCTTCCTGTCATTTCATTTGATGAAGTCTTCTGGTCATTTTCCTTCCACATTTTTTTGCCCTTTGCCCATTAGTGTAAACTCCATTTCTCCAAATATGGGACATAGCTGGGAAAGTTAATTGATTTTGGAGAGCTAATCAAGTGCTCCCAAAGCCAAGGGAGGGATACACTGTCTAGGTTACAGCTGTAAACATGAGATACCCTTTCTTTAACTTGTCTGAGATGCTGTAAACCACAGGGCTGATCCCATGTCCAGATAATTTACTTTTCTGCAGAAATGCACTCATATATTACTGATGCCTAATGAAAGTATTTTCTTTATAGATCATAAAACATATTCTTCATGCTGTAATTAAAATACAGAGTAATATGAAATCTAGATCAAAGTTTTGCAAAGCCTACTCACTTTTGCCTTGTCTTTTGACATTGAAACATATATAGCTGTACACAGAGCATATTGGTCCACTAACAATGTGGGAGAGCAGCCAATTTGTTCCTGGGATATAACGGGAATCGGCTGTGGGAAATAAGCCAAAGAAGTGTGATTCCCACATAAGGGACTTAAGTAGGTGTTAGTCTACAAAGAAGCTCTTTGGCAGGATTTAGAATAGTCTTCTCTACAGAGAAGGCATTTTTCCTGAGATCCTCCATAAATAAAAGTGCACCAATTTTCAGGAGGGTTATGGAATTATTGTCTTGTCAACTGGTGCTTCCCTCTTTTTCTTCTTTTCTTTCACTTTTTTTTTCTCTTTTTTTTTTTTTTTTTTTTTTTTTAGTAAAGGCTTTATAGCACATTACTGTGTCCCACTCTAGCTTTTTAGAACCAAGCCGTTTACTTCACATGATCATGGGAAGGAAAATGGAAGGTGCTTTTCGTCTGCATGAGGCCCTCAGATTTCCTCTGCTCTGATCCAGGGAATGAATACCTTTTGCAATGTGGCTAGTTGGGCACTCCTGACAGTTTTCAGTAAACAGCAACGTTAATGCTTTAGCTACTCATGTGTTGTGTAGTATTTGCATCTGTGGTTTTCATTTATCTCCCCTCTGTCTTAGAAAAGAAATAATGTGTAATGCAGGAGCTTCAAAAGAAAAAAGTTGCTTGAACCATCCTAATTTTTTTAGTACAGAATTAATGTATATTTAATGATTTCCAAAGTCTGTAGAGTTGAGTTACAGACTAATTTCACTTCTGAAATACAAACTCTTCAAATATCTTGTAGAAGTGGTGTTGTACTTCATTCTGTGACACGGACAGGTAGCAAGTCAGACTTGTTTTAGAGGCACTGACATATTTTAGGTAAGAAAGGAATAATGGAATCCAACAAGAACAAGTAATTCATTCAGAAATGCATTCCTTATATCTGGCCAAGTCTGCTCAAGTCCAGCTGTCCTGATACTCAAGATGTCGGAATGGAGGTCGCTGAATCAAACCTGCTGCTCAAAGCAGCACCAACTTGAAAGTTAGATCAGGTTATTAGTAGCGTGCTCCAGCTGTATTTTGAAAGTCTCCAAGGATAGGGATTATTCTACAAATCCTCTGGGAAACTTCTTCCAGTATCCCAAGAAATAAATTGGGAAAAGCAGTATTTTAAAATATGTTTGTGTGTGGCATTCACTTTTCAGCAGTTCTTTTAAAATGCCTATTTATAGTAATCACAGATGTTAGAAAAGTTAAACAAAAAATTCATCAGCGAAATCTTCAGCCATTTATTCTTATAGACAGACTGAATTGTACTTCTGAGAAGAGATGCTTCTGAATGCTGAAGCCCCTCAATTTTTATGAATGTGAATGAACATTTGGCTCCTTGTTTTCACCAGGTATTATTTCTGCATATTCATTTTAAGCAGCATTTGGGTGTAGAAGAATAACAAGAAAACTTTTTTTCCCTCCCTCCTCTTGTAGGCAAGTATTTCCAAATGGGCTTCCTGAAGAATACTCTCTAGTTGCTACGTTCCGTGTACGGCGAAATACCAAGAAGGAGCGTTGGTATATATGGCAAGTTTTAAATCAGTATGACACACCTGAGGTTAGAGTCATCTTTGATTTATTTTTTTCATTAAGTTTCTTTTTTGTTCCCATGTAAAATGGCAGTTATAACTTAGAAACTTGGATGTTTCACCACTGGGTTTAGCTACAGTTTATATAGAATAGTCAGACTGCTCTGAAATAATTGATCATTTATCATAGGAATGGCAAATACGCAACAAAATGAATCAAGACTGCAAACTAAGGATAATAGGCATCCTATGATTTGTAGCTGATGTGTATTTACAAAGCTAAATATTAGAAAGCTTCAAAACATAGTTCTTGCCCAGTCTATATAGTTGAAAGCATTTTTATTATACAAAGTTTATATATGTGTTTGACTCTTATATTTGTAACTTTTAAATGACCACTTCTTTTCTTTTCTTTTCAGATCTCTGTCCTTCTGGATGGTATAAAAAAGGTTGTGGAGTATATGACCAAATCTGCTCAGGGAAATATACTGCACTACACTTTTAAGAGTCGAGAAATTTATCCATTGTTTGATCGGCAGTGGCATAAGCTTGGTATTAACGTCCAGTCAGGGATCATTTCCCTCTATTTGGATTGTAATTTAATTGAGAGAAAACAGACTGATGAAAAATTCAACATTGACCTGCAGGGAAGGACTCTGATTGCTTCTCGTGCTGCAGATGATAAGCCTGTAGATGTGAGTAGTGAAAGGAAAACGAGATAACTTGATACCATGTTTTAGCCATGCTTCTGTTAACACAGTTGTAAAGAATTATGTAGATAAAAGATTCAAAATTCGCTATTAATTTTGAGTGTGTATTCTTGAAGTCCTGAAGTCTTTTTCTTTAAACAATAGTCAGTGTTATAGTATTTGCTAAGGCAAACCTGTTACCGAAGTAACTAAAAAAACTCAGTTCTGGTTTCAGGGGTCTGTGCTTCTGTATTTGCTTTGGAGTAAGAGCCACATAGTTGCTGTAGGCATATTATTACTACATTTAGAGATAATTTTCAGTGGTAATTTTTTTTTTTCAATTATTATGAGATTATTTAGAATTCTGTGTCAGTCATCTGTTAGACTTGCTTTCTCTTTAGTAAAGGGGAGACACAAAAATATTAAGGATTACCTCTCTATCAAGATTGTATCACATTCCAGGGTAATTCAGCTATGCAGGAATAGGGGCACATTGTTCATAGCTGTCAGTCTGTCCTCCTAATGGGAGGGATTCAGGAAGTGGCTGGAGGCATGTTTCTTGCAGCCATTGGTACAAAAATTATCTAAGGCAACCCCATAATATTGTGGGTGGTGGTGTGTCCCAGAGATGTTCTCCTCTGTTTCCTTCTGCAGAGAGCTCACAGCAATTAATTTGAAAGCTCCAGGAATGTCAGTTTAAGTCTGCTAACATCCAGCTACCATGTTGAAAGCATCTGGCTCAGAGTTTATAGTGACCATCTGAAAGTTTCAGCTGTATTACGGACACTGTAGAGTTCCAGATGAAAATGGCACATTGTAAATGCAAGGTAGCATTGTGGGAGAAATAAGTTCTGTGAGGCATGGAACATTTTGCCCTGGACACGGAGCTCTTATTTCATGGGTCCAAGCTTATGCTTTATTTTGTTTTCTAAGATCGAATTCAACTTTATTTGAAATGCATGTACCATCTCCTCCTTTCCAAGTAGCAGGTGGGAGGAGGAGCAGATTTTTTTTATCTTGTGGTGGTTGCATGGCAAAGGCTGGATGATTCTGAGTGGAAGTTGTCCACTGGGATTTCCAAGTTTGCAGGAACACATTATGGGTACAAAGCTGATGAAGGCTCCTGTACTAGGTCATTCTTCTCAAAACCAAGTGCAATGGAGAGAAACAAAGGATGAAAACCAACTACAGAAAGAGGCATAGGAGGCCAAGATTATCTAGTTAAAATTAGATGCCATTCATCTCCACAGTCCACCCCAAATCTCTGAAACAGAAGCTTTATGTATAGAATTTGTGATTTTTGCTTGTCAGGTGATATAGTGATAAGGTCCAGGCAAACGTCTTGTCCAAAGTGATAGAAGATGGACGCGAGATAGAGCTTATCAAACCTTTACTCTACTTCACTAAAGGAGAAAACTACCTTCCTGAGAAGTCTTGTGTAGGATGTCTAGAGGGCTCAAAGGCCCGTGTAGCATAGCAAGAGCAGTACAGAGGGATGCAACTTAATGAAGATAAATTAAATATAAAATGTGATTTACATCAAAGTAACGGACTGCATAATTTGTCCTTAAGTGAGCAGGTGTGTACTTTTAATGGATTTGTCTCTTTTACTTCATTTCAGAAGTTTGCAGTGTTTCAGAGAGAAGGTTTACTATACCAAGATAAGAAAATGCGTACTGTAACTCATGATTTTTACATCTCATATTAATCTGTTTTATATCTCTTAATAGATTGAACTTCACCACTTAACAATCTATTGTAATCCAAAATTTGCAACAGAAGATACGTGTTGTGAAATATCTGCTGATCTGGTAAGTTAAAATGCAAATATTTATACAAAGGAATTGCTTTGTTGTTCCTTATTAAAGTGTTGTATAGACATTTCAATAGAAGTATTAGATTAATTACCTTTTAGAAAAATTAATCCTGTATCTGGAGTAACGGTATATTGTTTCTTGCTGCCTGACTAAATGGCACAGTGGAACTTCAGTAAAAGGCACTAGGTGCTGCTAGTGCTTTTTAATTTAATTTCTTAACATTGATTGATACGTAGCTAGTAACTGAGGAAGTCTCAGAGAATAGGAAACAAATCACTGTGATGACCTGAGGATGGCTTCAAATAACAGAGGCCATTTCAGTAACAGTTGCATCTAGTGAAGCATTACAGATGATAAACAAAGCCCATGAAAGAGTCTCCATGACTGTGGAAAGGAAGAAAAATATGAAGGTGTTGAGGGTGTGTCCCTTATTTCAGTACTCTAATGTGGATAAATGGGTGGTTTGTAATTGGCAAATACTTTCTTCTCTATAACACACATGCTGAGATGTATATATTGTTTAAAAAAAGAAAAACATTGATTTATTTTGAAGGATTCACTTTTCCTTTTTGTTTTGATAGGCAGAATCAGTGTAAATTGGGTGGCACTAGATCTACAGAAATGCTTGAAGTTGCAGATGTAATTGTTCTGCTGAACCAAGTCTATTTAGAGGAAGAAAACCCAAACAAACTAACAAAGACAACTTCCAAAAGAAAATACGGTGAAATAATTGGTCTGCTCATTATGAATAGCCTGTAAGAGCAGGCTCCTCTGAGATAGCAAGCAATACCATCACCACCCAGCCTGCAGTCAGCAAAAAAAACACAAACAGAGCATACAGAAGGACTAATTGATTCCATCTACAAAGAGATGGGAGAAAAAGGGCACCAGCAATGGAGGTAGAAAGCTGCCCAAGAACAGAAAAGCAGAAGGCTTTGTGGGAACTGACAGCTGATAGGTGCTCAGAAGCATGGAGGAGGCTGGATCTAATTTATCAAGAGAAATTTGGCTTGAAAGAATACTTTATTGTTCAAATATATTTCAAAATAGATTCCTTATTCTAAGTGCAAGGTTTCTCTTGAATGTATAACCTTATGGATAGGTGAAATGATGGATTTTGTTCTGTAGGTCCTGCTTTATGCGTCAAAATACAGTTTATTTAGCAGTTATGCCAAAATATCAAAAACTAAAACCAAAGCAAGCCCTTATTATATATGAACACAAAAAGGTTCATAAGTTTTGTTAATAGCATTTAAAATGTTCATTCAACTATGTCGCCAAGAGCACCATTGGCTTCATTTGTATGTCTTCTGTTGAAGATGTAAAAAATGGCAGGCTAATTGTTAATGACTTTCATACTGAAACCACCATTACATTTTCTAATTTATTTTTTCCTTATTTCCTTACCAGTTGTAAGGGCTACATTTTCAGTAATTTAAAGGAAATAATTTATCCTTGAATACAAATTTCTACATTAAGATGTAAATCCTGTTGGAATTTCTTTGACAGAAGGCTCACAGCAGACCTCATTACATCTTGAGCTGCTGAAGTTTATCAGGTTCTGTTGACTTGTCCTGTAGTATAACATCAGGTTGGCTCATCTCTTACGAGTTAAAGACAGGTGCATATTGGCTTCAGGGCTTTTTGTTTGTTTCCAAATTTTTCATGCCTGAAGTATCTCATTATGAAAATATTACAGAATTTTCCCTCACACACACTCTGCCATTTTACATTTTGGGGTAAGAGGTGGAGGATGGGATGAGACTGATATGTACGGTCTGTTTTTTTTTTCTCCATGGGGATATTCTGCTTCACTACTTCTAATTTTGGGAGAATTCATTTTCCCAGAGACTGTCCAAGCTCTTTTGGAAGAAGGAAGTATGATAGTCAGGTTAGTTTTACCTGGCGTTGATTTTACTACAGAAGAATCACCATGTCTGGAATTTATTTTACTACAGCTTTTTCCTCTGTTTGGCAATGGTTGTGGCTTTTCTGTAATATGGTGTGTACAGGAGTATTAAACCAGAAAGTAACTTAAAAATAGAGCTCAGGTGGTATTTCTGTATTAACCAAAGTGCATAAAAAAATCAGAAAAATCTTCTTTTTATTTTAGTGCTCACATGAGGAGAGACTTCTTGCTACGACTTCATCACCAGTGACTGTTCATGCCAGCAAAATATACATGCTTCCAGGGATACAGCAGGAATCGAGAGAGAGATGCCACTGCTTTCCAAATAAAGTAAAAGGAAATGTTTATTTCCAAATAAAGTTTTTCTATTGCTTTTTAGTGCATCATGCTGTTTAATCCTGATAGGTATTAAAAAAAAATGTTTGTTTTGATTTTGTAGCTATGAAAAATACTTTACAGGTTTGTAGGGTTGTAACGTACTTATGCTGTATTTCCCAGATAAGAAACAGTACATTGTAGATTTACGTGTACAAATACACACCCAAAAAAGATCCATGGTAAAAATTAGAATTATATTCAGGCACTATATTTAGTGCAAATGTTTTTACTTGAGAATAAATTATTTCCTACGTAATGCTGTTTTTTTTTTTAAGATCCTTCTCCTGAGCTATATTTATTCTGAGTCATTTGCTTTGTTAGGCTTTTGTGATAAAGAGAAGGAAACCAAACCAAATTTTGGATCTGCTGCTTTGTTGATTTTTTTTTTTAATTTATTTCTTCTCAAATCAGGGAGAAGCAGGATTGCCGGGAGTAGCTGGTTTGCCAGGCAACAAAGGACATAAAGGTGAAAAGGTAAAAAAATATCAGTTGACTCTCTCTTTCAAGTCTTTATCTTTGGCTTATCCTTCTGAAATAGAAAGTATGGATTTTGTTATTCCCTAAAAGAATATCCCTGTACACAGGCTAAATTCTGTATCCATCAATCTCTGGTTTTGCATATGGGCTTTCTGCTGGGCAGCCTACATCTGGTCTCACTTTGGGGTCCCCTCATCGACTCCATGGAACACAGTATACCTGCCTGTGAAGCACACATCTACCCAACCCTGTTAGCACGACCTGTTGTCTTTTCCCATTAGCAAAACCAGAGAAGCTGTGTATGTCATCTGTGATAAGGATTTTCCCATGTTATGTGTGGATGTCCCTGCTGCTGGAGAGAATCCTGTGTGGTGGATTTATCCTTGCAGTCGTTAATAGGAGGATTTGAATTCACTCATCTGACCTCATCACTGTATATTCTTTGATACGACTCTTAACTGAAACTTTCTTAATTATGAAGAGAGAGTGACCTGACTTTTAAACTTAGAGAGGAGAAGTTAAACCAGTGATACCCAGCTCAGGCCACATCAAGGCTGTGCCCCAGCACTGCCAGGTCAGCACCCAACCAGCAGCTTCTACTGGATACTTCCTGGCCTATATACTCCCTGCTTCTCCCCCAGTGCCTGGGAAACTGTGGAGTAGTGCCACCTTCGGGATGAGTTTTTTTTCTCACTCTTGGCAAACTCTCTGAATTGGATTTATTGTATTCATCAACTAAAAGTTCCTAATGATTTTTTTTGCCCCATGTCTGAATACTTCTATCACCATTTTATAACCATGAGAACCGCTTGCCTGTCTGCGTATCTAATTTTTTAAATTTTTAACTGACAAAATTTCTCACAGGGACTGCCTCTGACATTAATCATTCAGATGACAGATCTCATATAAAGGATGAAATCTCTACATCACCTCTTTCATCTTCCACTTTACCACTTACAGAAACCTTGCCAGTACACTGTCTGCTGGGAACAACTCTCTTCAGAGTGCACTGTTGCTTCTTTCTTGATAATACGACACATTTCTTTTACCTGTCATCGTGGATGCTAGTTATGGCACATATAACTATGCAGAGATGAAAACTAATGAAAACTTACTTAATCAAAACTTACGAAACCCAAACTGATTTTGGTTAAAACGTGTTTTGACAACTGATGTAGGTCACTCATCTGATCTAATACATCCCCATTGTAGGCAAGAGCAATGTTGTAACGCAGTACTCTAGCAGTGTGTGCTCTAGGCCATGTTAATGTGATTCTTTCTGTTTATTAAGGGCATTTGCTTTTATCTTAGTATGAAAATCATTACCTGTACCTGGTTAGTACAGAACCCTGCTGAGAATATTTTCCTACTCCCAAAATTCCTTGTGGACTGTTTTCTAGATTAAATATTGGATCAAGTTAATCCCATTCCATATCACAAAGTACATGTATTTTAAACTGATTTGCAATTCAAGAGACAAAAGAATAAATAAAATACTTTCTTAATTTTGGGGGGTGGGGGGTGTTATATGAGAAAGGACTGTAATTTCTTAAATAATTATCACTTTGTCATTCTATCACCGCATTTGGCTTTAGGCTATCTCTGCTTAGCATGACTAATAGCAAGGTGTGGTATAGGAATCAAGGTACTGTGTATTTTGTCTGCTGCTAGCATATAATTTCTAGTTCTGGGACGGGTGTGTTGAGTAAAGGCTATAGGGTGCAAAGAGGTAAAGATCAAGTGCTTTTGAAACTCCCTGAATCATTAATGTAAAAAAATGATCGCAAGTGTACTACTGCAGGTGGTCTCAGATGTGCAAAATTGTTTCCACTTCAGAGAAAAGGATGATTGGAATCACTGGAAGGAAACATGTTTGCTGTCTGCAATCTCTTTTTTAAGAATTTAGTTTGGCTTTATGGAAAATTGATAGGAGCAATGTTTTTGGTTGGTTTTTTTTTCAGCCTGCAGAATTTCCACCCAGTCTGCTTATGAACTTACCAAAATAAACATTGTTAAAAATATAGGAGTCATCCTATTGCTTGCAAGAAATCACTTCCTGGAAAATGTGCTATGTCTTAAATATTTTATTCTATGAGTACCTTGTACTCGGTTGAAAAGGATTTTCATTGGTACTCTTGGTAGTAAATCCTAACGGTAGGCTTACAGCTCATGGTATTACCTTTGTATGTGGTTACACTGAGTGTGCTTCATAACCTATAAATGCCAGCACTTGAATTGCTAATGTTCAGCAGCTCGTAAGTTTTTTTTGTCTGACAGCATATATTTCTGTTTGCTTTGGTAGTTCCAAGTTAATGTGATCCTGCATTCCCATTCTTGCTAATTTGTTTACATGAATTTATTAAGCTCAACTGCAGTGTGTGTTGGGAGTTAGAATACTCTTGTTCAGGTGTAAAAGAGATTTATTAAGGGGAAGATAGAGGCTGAATGGTCAGGAATCTTGTTTTTTCCGTCTCATTTCTATACTTTTGACATCTATTATGTAAGATAGAAAAAGGGATACTTTTTCACTTTTGTGAAGGACTTTGAGATCTGCAGAAGCAGAGGAAATGCTATGAAACAAAACAAAAGGGGGGGAGGCATAAAAAAATCCTTAAAAATGCAAATGTGAATACTGTTATAGGTTGTACAACATACAGCATATGATCTCTAAACTCACTGAATAGAATCGCAGAATAGTTAAGGTTGGAAAGGACCTTAAGATCATCTAGTTCCAACCCCTCTGCCATGGGCAGGGACAGAGCTCACACTAAACCATGTGACCCAGGCTCTGTCCAACCTGGCCTTGAACTCCGCCAGGGTTGGAGCATTCACAGCTTCCCTGGGCAACCTATTCCAGTGCCTCACCACCCTCACACTAAAGAATTTCTTCCTTATATCCAATCTAAACTTCCACTGTTTAAGTTTTAACCCATTGCCGCTTGTCCTATCACTACAGTCCCTAATGAATAGTCTGTCCCCATCATCCCTATAGCCCCCCTTCAGATACTGGAAGGTTGCTATGAGGTCTCCAAGCAGCCTTCTCTTCTCCAGGCTGAGATGAAATAAAAGAACGAAAAACTAAAACCTTTCAGACTGTGGCTATTAAAGTCACAATTACAAGATAGAAACATAATTTTATGATCTAATTTGCAGTGGAAAGTAATTGTCTTCAAGGTGGGGAGTCTATCTGCAGTTAGTGGAAAAGAAGTGTAAACATACCTTGGTTAATTGGGTAGTAAGTCATATATGGTAAAGGCTTCCTGGCATGTAGCAGGCTGTGTAATTTTAGACTACACAGTATACAAAAAAACACTGCTGAATGGAACAAAGTGATTCTGGTCTATTAAAATACTGGCAAGTGGCATAAGGGAACAGAGTGTGCAGAGATAAGAGAGTCACTCTGTGGGTGATTAGATAAGGTAACCAGGGGCCAGTCCTGCTGCTTTATCTCTCATAATGCCAGTGTGTTCAGGCTGTTTGTGCACACACAGGATTTCATTCTGCTTTTGTGATAGAGTTAAGGACCATTCCAGTGTTTGAATAAAAAGGACATAGGAGATGGGTGGTACACTCCTCTAGAACATCATTGTGTCTGAGTGGTTTAGACTTACGGCTGGAATAGTACTCTGCACCCAGGAGTTCATTTTGATTGATTTACTTAGCTCATGTGTTATGGCTCTGTTTGCTAGAGAGTGTTGTCGTCTTGGTGCAAGTAGACAAACCTAATGTTTTGTTTTTAAAGGAAGACTATAATATGGTTTCAGTGCTTTCACCTCTAATGTCCACATGATTTTGATTTTAACATATACAATTTATTAATTTTAAATCTATAAAATCAATTTTAAATATAAAAAGTATAAATTTAAAATTTATACTTGACATTATTAAGCAAAAATTCTATGTTTGACCTTCTTTTCATCAATTTTTAGGACTCATGTCTAGTTTGCAGCTGCTGGTGTCTTCCATACCTCTCCAGATCAGTTGGTCATGTCTCTTAAAACTGAAATTTTCTCATAGATTGCTTACGTTTGGTTTCTCTGAAGGGATAAAAAGGAGGGAGAGAGGAGCTGAGTTTAGAGAGCGTCTTTTAAAAATTACATTTAGACAAAACAAACCTGTATTATATGTTGAGCTTTCTCAGTATAAAACACACTCAGTAAGGTGAAAATGGAGCCACTTGGCTTAACTATGCTGTCACAGTAAATTCCCTTAAAATCAGCAGACCTGCTTTCTGTGGAAATGTGCATGGGTAAATATTTGTCACATGAGGATGTTAATTGACATTACAGGTGTTTTAAAATGTATTTATTTTGTCTGATTTTATTGTTACATGTAAAGCATCCTCCTCGACAGTGGTTTTATTACTAAACATGACAAAAGCAGGGTAGCAGAATAGAAGATGCTTTTCTGCTGAATCAGATACAACCTGAGTAGTTGTTAATCTCAGAAGTCTTTAGAACTTCTAACTGAATGATTTGTTTTGTAGGGTGAAATGGGAGTAAAAGGACAGGATGGTATTGCTGGTCTTCCTGGTGAAAAGGTATGTTTGCATGTATTGGTATGTAAATTGAGTCATGGGAAGTGTTCATTATGTCAGTGGCTTGTCTGTAATTGTGAACAGAAATGGGAAGATAGAGCACTTCTGTTAGAACATGAAGTTCTCTTACCTGCACTGCCATGGTTTTGTAACACACTGAAAAAGCTGCTCAGGCGAGTAATATGGTCTACAGATGTCCTTGCTTTATGTTGGGCTTTTTTTTGTTTGTTTGTTCGTTTTCAGGAAGGAATGGGATGGGGTGGATATACAGAACCAAAAGAAGCTACTTGTTCCATTGTGCAGTTTGTGATCTGTAAGTTTAGGAAAAGCTCTTATGCTCTTAACAGTCCACTTGGTAGAGCTTGGAGGTAAACACCATTGGGCGCTAAGCAAAGACAAGAGAATAGCCATGGCTATGAAAGCATAGTTATTCAATACCTGTGTATTCAAGATGCTAAGTTTCACTTCCTTCTGGAATACAGTGTTTAAATTAAGGCAGTTGTGCCTGTTTATTGAGTTCAGAGTTAGTTGCCTGTACTGGAGAAGGTCTACTAGCCTAATACCAGCCATCTTCCATATAATAGCCCTCATAACATTGAGGAAACAGTGTGTTGCTAGAGTTTCTAATTATTTGATCTCTTGTGACTTTTCTTCTGTTCCATAGTAACAGTTGAAATAATATTAGATTTTCTGTTTAGACATGGAAGTCAGTTGATACATAAATGGAAACTCTCCAGATGCCTGTGTTAGTGCATCACTAATTTATTTATTTAATCATTTATTTATTTATTCAGTTTTTTTACTGTCAGGATTTTAGTCCTCAACCCTCAATTCTGGTTCTTTTTCATTGTGTACTTCAAGTTTCTGCCCTTTCAGTGCCAAAAACAAGTAAGCCTTTTAAAAGGAGCTGTTGCTGTGAGAGGCTCTGCATTTCAGTATTGCACTTTATTGGTTGATATGCTGCTTTCATGTATATGCAACATTTTAGTAATGGTGTGATGGTTTGGTTTATTTTGTAATTACCCAGATTTCTAAATACTGAAAGAAGCAGAGTTTCACTTCAACTGTCACGTTTAAAATCTATAATTAACAGGATATGAAACTGTCTTTTACTCAGCATTTCTTTCTCAAATTGTGTTTTGTTAAAATAGGAGTTAGACATATAATATTACCAGAGAGTTGAGTTAAAATAAAACTTGAGAGCAGGCTGCAAAGATGTTCAAAGGACTCTGCAATGTTGAGGTACTGAATCATAGAGTGGAATGTAAAACTCGGAGAAAGTAATACTAAAGAGCAAATGAAGAAGAAAAATAAAGCAAACTTTACATATTTCATGTCAGATGGGACTAGCTATTACTCGGAATTACAGATCAATGAAAATCTATGTTCACTGTTAAGTACTAGTCAAATAAAAGGAATTTAGGAATGATTAGAAAGAGGATAGGGAGCAAAGCAAAAGCATCTTAATGTCATATAATGAAACTGTATTGGGCTGAATCTTGAATGATGTAAGGGGTTCTGGTTCCCACATCTCTAGGAGATCAAATACTACTGGAAAAGATCCAGAGGAGGTAACAAGAGTAACAAAGAGCATTGGGCATCTTCCAGTTAAGGTGGACTTCGACTTGATTCTCAGGCACAACTGATGTGAAATATGTCCTGTTCTGTGCTCTGTACAATCATGAATGGAACAGAAAAGACTAATAGGAATCTATTTATTTATTTTACTCTCCTTTTCCGTGTGTGAACTGGGGCATCAAGCCTGTCTGATAGCAAGTTCATAAAGGTTAGAAAGGGTTTGTTCTTCCTATTATATGACTACAGTTTGAACACTCTGCCAGAGGGTTTGATGAGTCTGAAAATTTATTAGAAAGTTGATAGAAGAAAAACCCATGGTGTGTGTCAGACAGACACTGCTGCTTGTCTGAAAGTTCTTGAGCTCCAAGACACTGAAGTCTGGGAAACCCACTGGAGAAGTCTTTATGGTTGCCCTGTGGTTATACTTTTTTGTAGGCATCTGTTGTTGCTACAACTGTAGTCATATACTTAACTAGAGAAACCATCAATTTGATCCAGACAGACAGCTTTTACTTTCTTGTGCTCCCAGATGTGAATTAGTGGAAGGAGTTATTCTAAAACGTTGTAAATTGAATGAGATTGATCTAGAATGAAGCTTTGTTTTCCCTTTTCTCTTTCTGTAGCTCCTTCTCTGATGTTACCATTCTTTAAAGTTACTAAGCTAAACTGCTTTTCCCATGCAAGTTATTACAGTTTCCATGGTTAATACTGTTTGGTTTTTTTTTTGCTTAGCGCCTTGCAGATTCACTGTCAGACCAAATCCCAAAGCTTCTGTTAGTTTATGTAAGGCTCAACAGTCAGATCATATTTAATATCAAGGCACTGTACTTTTCCTGAAGATCGTAACGCTTTTAATTCAGACTACATAAAAGCCATGCAATTGTTGCAAATTTAAATAAACTACTGTGGAATCTGAAACTGGCAAACCCAAAAGCTGCTTAGAAGAAAAAAAAAAAAGAAAAAAAGAAAAGGCAAAATATTTTGGGTAAGCATATCTAGATGAGGAAACTGAGATCCAGCCACCCAGCTTCTGCTAGCCAGAGTTGTCGTGTCTGTGCAGAGTAGTACAGTGCCGTGTGGAATTACTAGCTCCTTTCTGGAGGTAGAATTGCTTTGTTTTCCTTGTGTTGTGAATGGTGTTAACATGTTCTGTCTCTCAGTTGATGCATCAAGAGTTGTGTAAATTTTTGTGTGTCTGTTATTTTTGTGCTCCTTTTTCTGGGAGGTTCTGGATGATAACAATGTACATAGATTCTATAACAACTGAATAAAGCAAAAGAATAAAAAATGCTTCAAGCACTGTTATGTACAAAGGTGTAGCCTACTTTTCAGGAAGTTGAGGTACAGACTGTGCTATGCTGGGAGAGCATTTTCTGGAGTTACTTATGTTTGTTTATCCTCTTAAACCCTTCAGTATCCATTATCGTTTGTTGGAGATGTTATATTTGTTTGACTGATATGGCTATTTTTATGTTTTTCTGCACTGTGTTTGTCTGAGCTTTGTGCAGATCTGCCCCCTGAGTCACTAGTTAGAAACAGGAAAAAGAAAAAAAGAAACAATACAATTATTTGTTATGTAGATGCAGTTTGAGGCTTCAGAGAGCAGCGGCATTCTTTCTGATCCACCCAAAACCTGTCCACTGCAATATTCCTTTGGGGAAATGGTCCACCATTCCTTGGGGAAAGGTTGAGAGAATAAATACATTGCAGATCTCACTCAGGTTGCTATGAGTAAGCAACAATATCAGTTCATTTGACCTATTTTAGAAGTTTACCTTAGAATGAGATCAGCTTGATTATTAGAAGGCCTGTTTCTGTAGACTTGATTAGTTCTGTTACCTGCACTTCTTGTGTCACTCAGCTGACACTTGAATATCTCAAATCCTTTCCTTCCCTTTGCTTCTGGGTCTATAATGCCATGACAATGAATTGTTTATGATTAAAAGTTTATGTCCTGGATGCTAGGTGTTGTAGTCTTCCTTGGGGTTGGGTGGGTTGTTTTTGTTTTTTTTTGCTGGTCTGTGATGCCTTGGCAGTCAAGATGCATCACTCAATTGTTTTGACATATCACATTTTAGGGTTGGGTGAACTCTGTGTACTTAAAAGTTTAGTGGGATAGTTCCCCCTCCTGAGAGAGAGGGTGCCACCATGGCATGTACTTTAATACAAAGTACTAAGCCTCTTGCCGAGTTGTGGCTCATGGGTGTTATATGGGTCCTGCTAGCTGAAAAGCTCTTAAGCTTCTGAGAATGCGTGGATGGCAGCAAGGCTCAAAGGACTCAAGCTGCTTAAGGTGAGTAATTGGCTCTGTTCTTGGCCAGCCCATATTTGGCCATATTTTCCTATTATGAAAAAACTTTTTCTTCTTCCTCGGTCACTACATTCTGAAAAATAAAACCAATGTAGCCAGAAATGCAATTCATAAAATTCAGAAGACTTACCAAAGTAAACTGGTTTTGTGTGTTCCCCTTTATCCAAGCCTCCACAGTGATTGCTTTTTGGTGGTTCATTGTATACAGTTCATAGTGATAGAAATAATGCATCTATGTTTCTTAAATGACATTTTGTGAAATACTTGTGACACCATTGACTTTTAATATGTGACTTTCAAATAGCTTAGCTTTACTGTTGTAGTTTCTTGCCTAATTTTTCACAATCTAGGTTATGAACAGACAGCCTAAAGTAGTAAATATATTGAGTAAGCTTTTTAAAATAGCTGGTTTTGCACAGCAGGCCTGAAGAGGCAGGGAAATATTGAGTATGCTGTGCATTTGCTACTGCACTGTATGGGTGCTCCTGCACTGTATTAATAAAATAAACAGTTTAGACAGACTGAAAGGAGAAAGAAATACTTATATGAATAAAAACAATGTTTATCATTACACAACTTAGGTTTATATTCAAAGTCAGACTAGAGGGGAAAAAAAAGCCCCGAGTGTACATTTCAGGAGCTCTATCAACCGTATGAGTGTGATTTGTACTTCAGGAGTCATGAATTGGGTTTACATGAAGATACAGTAGGTATCTGTAAAGGATTATATTTGTAGAAGGATTGTTCCTTTTGCTCACTTGCATGTACTTTGGGGTTATTCAGCCTGGAGAAGGCTCTGGGGAGACCTTGTAGCAGCCTTCCAGTACCTAAAGGGACCCTACAAGAAATCTGGAGAGGGATTTTTGCAAGACCATGTAGTGACAGGACAAAATTTGAAGGCTTTAAACTAGAAGAGGCTAGATTTAGATTAGATATTGAGAAGAAATTCTTCCCTGTGAGGGTGGTGAGGCACTGGCACAGGTTGCCCAGAGAAGTCGTGGCTGCCCCATCCCTGTCAGTGTTCAAGGCCAGGCTGGACGGGGCTTTGAGCAACCTGGTCTGGTGGAAGGTGTCTCTGTCTGGAGCAGGTGGTTTGGAACTAGGAACTTGGAAC